CGTCCTATGGGAGAAATAAATGAGGATTTTCACAACAAGAATGGTAAAAGCTTCTTATTTTCAGCTGTGTTGAAAGTGCAGAGGTCAAAGCAGAGACATAAGAGGGAGATGTACTTCAAAAGGAAAAACTATGGCTATCATCTCTCCATCTCTCTATGGGTGTGCCTCCTCAAAGAAACCTTGTTGTGCCCATGCACACACCCTCTGCCCAGGGTACTGTGTTACACCTGTATTTTGTAAATTTGTTGGTGAGCTGGGCCATAAAAGCACATCCATTCCCATTCACCAGCCACATTATGGATGGGCCAAGAGCATGTATATCAAATTTAGCTGTATGGCACATTTTGTTGCTTCTCAGAGGGGATGGGAACTCAGAGCATGTGGTTTATCAGAGCAGAGGCTGTTAGTATAGATTCTTTAGCACAAGGAGCTCAAGGACTTTCTCCAACAAGAGTGACCAAGGGAATTTTTAAACTCTTATGAAACCCAATCCAGATGCTCAAAAACATCATTAGTGTTTCCCTCTCTTAGAAAAGCAGAATGCAATCATAGCAGGTTGGCTGTAAGGCAGAGACAAGTCCCAGCTGTAGCTCTGTGTGTCAGTGGTGGCTGTGTGTCTGCATGGCACGGTTTGCATCAAGGGAAAGGGCCAAGCAGGAAATATCTGCCTGTTGTGTCTTTCTGAATTCTGCTGAAGAACCCTTCCCACTGTGAAAGCTGACACTTAAAATTGCTTTTCACTCTTGCAAAAAGACGATGGAAGGTGTCTTTCAGAAACCAACATCTTGAGAAATCTGTGGCCGCTTGGCAAGGGCATGGGCAGCACCATGAGGCAGAACTGAGCCTGGTCTGGAGTACCCCCAAGCATTGGTATGGGCTGAGGACTGACAGCTGCGGTAGCTGCTCTGCTGAAAATCATCAAAACAGCAGTGTACAATGCAGGTCAAGTGCTTACAGGGCTGGGTTAGAAAGGGTGCAGCCAGCAGCTTATGGCAAGAGAGTCTTCCCCTCTATCCAGGGCTTGAGAGACCACATCCAGACATCGTATCTTGTATTAGACCTCCAAGTACAAGAAATTTACAAACTGAAGCTGGTCATGGCTCCACATGTGCCTCCAGGTGTCAGCATGGGCCAAGGGACTGGTGGCACCTGAGTGGTAGCACAGACATCTTCTGACTTTCATGACAGCCTTAACGTCCATACATCAGGAGAAAATGTGGGCCAAGCTGCCGCTGTGTCCCCCAGCCTGCTTTGAGTGCACACAGAGGAACTGATGCATCCCTGCTAGCACCAGGACCTCCCAACATCCCTTCCTGGCACTGCCACGACCTTAGACCTTGGTGAAGCATGGTGATGTTCTGGATGAGGTCTTCTACAATTTTGCTGAAAAACTCAGAAGGATCAGCCCCCTTCTGCCCTAAATCTTCCAAACTTGCAGGTTGCATAATAAGCAGGTGCAAGGTCCCAGGAGACTCCTTCCCCTGGGGTCTGCGCCTCAGCATATCTCAGAGCACGCAGCCTGCCATGCTATCTCTTCCCCTTCCTGACACCTCCTCTTTCTCTCTGGACTTGACTCTGAGGTTGTCAGATTAGCCTGGGATCTGCTCGCTTTCTTCTTCACCTCCAGCACCATGGGAGCTACATGAGAATGTGCCCTCATCCATGTCATCCATGTGCCTCCCACTCACCCCCTGGACATCCTTGAAGTGCCAGGGTGAAGACAAAGCCCTCACTAAGGAGCCACTGCCCAATCTCCACCAAGCCTGAGGGAACAGGATGAGGAGCAACAAGGCAAAGCAAGGCTGCAGCACGAAGCAGCCCAGCTCGGCATGAGCTTGAGGAAAAGCTCATGCTCCACTAAGCAGCAGGATTCTTCTCCAAGCCTTCCTGTGTTCCAGCAGCCAAGTGGTTACACAAAACTGAAGTGGGAGCCTTTCCAGTTCCTAACGCAGGGAAGAAAATGAAAAATAAATCATTTCCCACCAACCATTCAGCTTCAACAAAAGCTGGGAGACTTCCAGAGCCAGTCCCTGAAAGAACTGCTGTGTGGTTTCCAACCCCTCACACAATCAGGGCAAACTTTTCTGCATCTCTGCCCAGCCTCTTCAGGTCGGGTGCTTTCCTGCACTGGATGCCAGCCTGGCTTCACTGGCACCCCACTGCAAATCCAGCCATCATCCCAAAGGAGACAAGGGGGCATTTCTGCTCTCCTTCCCACCCTGACCACCCCTGACCCATCGTCTTGTGGTTTAGGGGCCATGCAGGACCCCAGGGTCAGAGCCAGGCTGGAGCAGGCAAGTTGGTGGCTCTCCTGCATCACTATCCTGAGGAACTGGGTACATGATGTGGTGGGCTGGTGTTGTCAAGATTCTGATAAATGAAGCTAATAACAGTTAGCTTGCTTGGATCTGGCCTGCAAGAAATGGCAGAGGGCCACAGGGAATGGGATTCTGCATCCCTCCTACCTCTCTCCCATCTTGCGGTGAAAGCACCAAGCCCCAGCACAGGGGAGAAGATGGAAAGAGTATGGTTAGCACTGGATCATGGATGTGTTAGCTTCCCTTAGCCTTTCCTACAGCAGCAATAGCCTCTGTCCAGCATGAATCCATGTTGTTCTGCTTATGTTGGCTTTACAGGGCTGGTCTCATTCAAATCATGGAACTGAAGCTTAACAACTGTCTACAACTCAACAGGGCCACAGTAGCCATCGGTGTGCACAGTCTTGGTCAGGATAGCCTTGTCCTTGATAGGATATGGGGTAATGGCTTTAAACTGGAAGACGGTAGATTTAGATTAGATGTAAGGAAGAAATTCTTCATTATAAGGTTGGTGAGGCACTGGAGCAGTTGTCCAGAGAAGCTGTGGATGTCCCATCCCTGGAGGTGTTCAAGGCTGGGTTGGATGAGGCTTTAAGCAACCTGGTCTAGTTGGAGGTGTCCCTGCCCAGGGCAGGGGGGCGGACTCGATGATCTTTAGGGTCCCTTCCAACCCAAACCGTTGTATGAATCTATGATTCTATGACAAATGCCAGGTCATGCTCTTTTCTTGGCAGATTCTTTTTTTATATGCTAACCCATGTTAAATTTGCTGGAGGCTGGGGGCAGTGGATGTGCAGGGGATGCCCACCCACAGGACCTAGGGAAGCAGCAGTCACTGAGTCTCCATGGGATCTCTGAATAACAGCCCCACTCCACCCCTTCTGCTGCCACTGCAGTGTGTTCTCTCCCAACGGCTTGGTTGAAGCTGTGGCTGCTTTGGGCTGAGCTGCACCTTGGTGCTTTCTCAGAGCTTCCACCTTTGGACTCTGTCCAGCATTGGTAACCTTGCAGCTATTCGCTGGTGGCAAATGTGGTCAGTTGCAACCAGCTGCTCCACCGTTGGTTGTCTTCTTTTGAATCCAAGCTGTGGCATCACAGCCTGTCTCCTCTTCCTTTTGCTCATGTACCTACCCTACACAGGTGGGGAAGGTCACAGTATACAGATGATCCCTACCACATATGGTTGTCTCATGGGGTTGTAGAGAGGGAGAGACCCTCTGCAGCTAATGGGGGACACACTGTCCAGGCTGCACAGTGGAGTGCGGCAGGAGTCAGTTGCATGACTTCAGTATAAGGCATCACCATGAGCAGCTGGGAAGGGAGTCACAGCCCAACCTGCCAGTTCTTATGGAGCTTCTGGGAAGTCTCAGCCACCCATAACCTGGGTGAGCTTCACATGAATGTCACCGCAAGCATAAATAAAGTAGATCGACCTGTTGGGTAATTTGTCATGGGTTGACATACACTCAGCTTGCCTGCAGACTTCAGGTGCACATGACAGCATCTATGCATGTGTGTGTGTTCAATGGAGTATGGATCCAACAGGAGGCATACAAATCTCAGGGGGGTGGGGAGGATGTGAGAGGCCTGGATCTCTCTTCCTGGCTCCGCTCAGATCGGTGCAGTGGAAGATGGGAGCTGATGGCTCAGCATTAGTCTGTGCATGCACCCTCCCAGGGCTTCCCCAGTGCCTCTCCTCCAGCAGGAACCCAGGCCAAGAAAGAGCATTCCTAAGAGTTTAGCTATTGACTTCTGAGCACTTTTTCCACACCAGAAAGGTCCCAGTTAGACTTCACAGAGGGTAAAACAGAGTAGGCATAATATAGTAGTTTATACATAGCAACAGAAACTTTTTTTTTTTTTTTTTAATATTAATAACATAAGTTGGTTAAAACTAGGAGGGATGCATCGGACATTGCACTTGCTAATGTTTGCCAGTATTTCTTACTCAGGCCTGTCTTCTAACCACATTTAGCTTCCTGTTTTCTGGTTGCATATAGCTGTGCCAAGCTTTAACTATTTGACTGGAATTTAGCTTGGGTGGTGTCTGGTTCCTGCTGGAGTTTTTGGATGGATGGAAGGGAGGTAGGGAATTTCAGCCCAAACCCTTTGGCTGGTTTTAAAAAATTGGACTCAAAAAAAGCCACATTATTCATCTCACATTAAGAAAAAGGTCAGCAAAGCTTTGCCAGAAAGGTTACTTCAAAGATTTGAGCATGGGGTCTGTGTTGCATGTCCGTATCATGGCTTTGCTGTGGGAAAGTAAAAATTTGGCCCATGTTAGGTTTTCAGTATTACTGGAGATTACACTGTTGTCATGCTTGGGAGAGTCTTGGTGGGTTTGCAGGTTAATTCTTTGAAGATGCTGCATTGGCTTGGCCCTGCTGTTGGTGCATGGAAAGACCAAGTGCCTGGGGCTGATCTTCTGTTCTGGATTTGATAGGAAAGAGATTTACAGATCTTTCCTTTTCATTTGGGATGGAAGAAGAACAAGCAAGAGGAGTCTTGGCCCACGTGTGCAAACCTGAAAAACATCCCAGGGGCTTTTTTGACCTCCCTTGCAAGGGCTTACCTCCTGTGGGTGGGATGCTGGGCCTCAGGAGTCTGATATGCTGTTGTCCTGGGAAGATCAGTGGGGTTCTCTGTGCCCTGGGTCTCACTTTCTCTGGTCCCTTGTTACAGGCAGGGATCGGGCATCTGTCGGAAGCACCTGGCTGCACCTAGTGCAATAGGTGCAGGGATGCTGCGTGCTCTGTGACAGCGGGGGATGCGCCAGGAGAAGAGGTAAAACTGCCAGCATTGCCGTGAGGAGGGACCTGCCCCATCTCACGACCGTGGCCTGTGGCATGGGGTTCCCCTCGGGATCTGTCCTGTCAGACAGCAGCCCAGCATGTACTTGTGTGGATCCGTCCACATTCAGGCCACAGAAGGGGGCTTGGGGTTGAATCCCACCTCCTCCCTTGCTCCTTGCCCATGTGCAGAGGAATCTGCAGCAGGGGGGAAGGCTGCTGACATCTCCATGACCTCCACAAGGTGAAGGATTGTAAGAGCAGAGGCAGCTGCAGCCCAACACCTCTTTTTACCAAGAAATAGTAGAGCCCTGCACTAGGCAAGCAATTAATGATTTTACTGCTAATAAGAGTTGCAGCTCAGCAAGTCAGAGCACTCAGAGGCCATTGGTGACATCTGGACACCCTCACGCCTTCTCAGAGGTGATGTGTAATCCCTGGTTTACAGAGAGGGAAGCCAAGGCAGAGAGTTTAAATGACCTGCTTGAGACGTGAGGTAGGAAGAGAATTAGGGGGAGAACCCACAGGTCCCATCTGTCTGCTGTAATTGATTAGCCATGCTTCCTGTGCAGGTGAAGACAAATATTGTTTTAAAACAAAATCAGTTGTTATCAGGCCTTGGTCTGAGCCCAACAGCAAAACTCCTGATTCCAGAAGAGATAATTTCTGGTGGCAACATGGTCACTTGACTGTAGGAATTACAATGGAGAAAAGCTTGCACAGCACTGTGGGGCTACAGCCCATGGCTCAGAATGGTGCTTGCAAGACTGGCAGACTTTGCATCAACAGAGAGAAATGTTCACCAAGGAGGTACCTTTTTATCAAAAAGCCACCTGTCTCATTTGGTGCAACACAGCATCCTTCCCTTGCCCTACAGAGAAAGCATCCCAGGGTATATCCAATAAAGACACTTTTGCCAAAGTCTTAACTGGCAACTTATGATGCCCTTCAGTAGTACTTGTGTGTCAGGAAAAGTGTTACTCAGGCAGGCAAGATGCTCTGCAGAAACTAAAAGTTAGCAGGGAGAATCACACAGGTTGGTGTATCAGAAACACTTAGAAGTGTTAAAAAAAAAAAAAAAAAAAAAAAAAAAACACAAACACCCTCCTTTTTC